TTGACAGGTGACAGATAACTTTGAAAGCAATAAAGTACATTGCACCCCAAGCTTCCATAATCCATCCATTACCCTGTCCTGAGGCGTGTTCTGCAGGGTCCATTTTTTCCGACAGGAAGAGGCGATTATGACCAAGGTGAGGTATTGCGGCCCCCTAGACTTTGATGGTGCAGAGATTTAATTACTCCCAGACCTTTCACAATGCATGCTGGCTTGGCGTAGGGCCCTTCATCCTCTGACAATGCCGCTGCAGGACTGTGGCATCCCCTATAGCTGGGGTTACCCCTTCCACTTGCTTGCAAGGAAAAATGGTAGACCGGTTGTCCTGTGATCTCCTGCGGATCCCAACATCTTTACCAAAACCCTTCGGATTCGCACTATGGAGCTGGATCCCTGGCCGGATCCTCCATTCCCTGGCCTGACACCTCTCCCTGGACCCAAGCAGTGGACAGGGGTCCTCCCTCAGAGGAAACGCTGAAAGGAGCCTTCATACACACCTTAATCGCAAATTACAGCCCTTTTCTTATTGTTACTATGAATGTCTGCATTTGATTGTGACTCCTCATTTCCATACTTTATAGGAGTGTATGGTTTGCTTCTGTACTATATCTGCACGTACCTGCTCCTTCATGTCACAGTTTTTGTATCAATTGATTTTGCCTCTACATGTTTGGACTTGACCATCTCAGGAACTTGATTCTCATTGGGCTTATTGCCCTTACTGCACATCTCTCCAGGACACCTAGTCTTTGACGTTGCTACATATAGGAGTTTTCTCCTGAGTAGGGGATACCCGAGACTATCATGTATGTATAGTTGCTTCCAACTGAATGCTCCTACCTGTAGGGTGCAGACCTTTGCACCTTTACATGCTCATGTTGCTATGGTTACTATGTGGCCAGGTGTGTATTAAAGGAGAATTATGGGGAGAGTGAAATACACTCATCCCCATAATTAGAGCCGACGTGTGACACTGGAGCTGTCACACATCCGCTCTATAGCTTGAGAACTGAGCGATCACATACTCAGTTCCCGATCTCCCTGCAGAGAGTGGCAACCTTCAGTCACCACTCCCTGCAGGGATTCCCCCCTCCCTCGGGGGAGGGGGCAGGCACGATATTGTCGGGATCTTTCCTGGTTATATCGTGGCTCTGAGCTGTCAAAAAAGGTTGGGCCACAGTTCTCTTTTAAGGCCTAGCATGCGAGCTAGATGGGCTCCATTGTTCTTGTGTGAATCTGGTGTGGCTTTCTTGACTTCCAGAACTCTCACCTGGAATTTCAATAGTCTCTTGCTTATGTGTTGTTTTATGTTTTACATTGCTCAAAGTATTTTGTCATGTCCTTCTCTATGCACTGTATCCGTCTCTCCGGGTTTGACACTGGACTCCAGAAGAAGTTTGGCGATCTGGTAGACCCTCTGTGTCCACCTGCTGGGGATGCTTATTCCCTGAGTTCTGCCCTGCAGACTTTTCCTTCTGTTATTACTAGCCCCCTGCCCCACTAAGGTACAGTATCTCTCTCTACTACCTAGCCCCATCATTGTCTGGAGGCGTGCTGGACTGTCTACACACAGGGTGGTTTAACTAATTGCCTCATTTTCAGTTCCATGTGTGAAGTTTAATGTTTATTGTTGTATTGAGTATACCTATGCTTTTGTAAGTTGGAATTAATGCCCTGTCATAATTAGTTTGGCACCTAATTTAAAGTGTTCTTTCCTATTACTATTATGCCCCTAATTTGATGCCTGGCCTGGATGCAGACACTGCTGGCTAGAATACTCTTACCCCACATAGGCTGCGCGCCTAAGAAACCCCCTTTTTCTGGTTCCTCGGCATGAGTTAATGAGGCTGTGATTACGTTCAAGGTCTTTTGTACAGGTTTTGTTTTGTACTTTCTATATTTTCCTACTCCCATTCCCTCTTTTTTTCCCCCCATTTTTTTTTTATTTTCTCTCTCACTGTGCTTGCATCTTCCTTTTCTTTCTTCTTTGTTGTCACCCTCTATGTAGGCTTCCTTGTCTTTCTTGATCGCCAGGTGCCACTTGACTGTCCTCTACTATTTCTTGAGCCTTATGCCTCTCTATGGTTTCATTAACTTTCACATAATTTAACGCATGGGGGTTGAATGATCTGCAGATGAGATCCCAGATCGTTTACTATATACATAAATGCAGGGTGCATGTCCTTTTTTTGCAGGAAACTAATTTCAAGGGTCCATCAGCCCCTTATTTATGCTCTCGCTATTATCAAGATATCTATCTAAGTAACAACTCCTTCAGCAAGTCCAAAGGTGTGGCAATTTGCATTAATTCTTCTATTCCCTTTGCCCTCTTTCAGGTAGAGTGTGATGAGGATGGCACTGTAGATATATCTTTCTTAAGGGGAGTCTGTTTTCACAAAAATCATTGTAAGCCTTCCCAATGTGCGCCCTGCTATAAAGGCTGGTTACAGATTCATGCATGTACCATCTTTTCTAGTTTTTCTGTTTTCACAAAAGGTGACACTGGTGAATGTATACTTACCCAATCATAACTATTTCCTGATCTCGCATCACTGCCTTACATGGTGCACCAGGACCCCCAGTGATTCCTAACTTTGGTCACTATCATGTCGCTATTTCCCTCTCTATATTCCGGACTTACCTAAATGCACCCCCTCTTGGCGTTTAAACAATCTCCTCTTACAAGATCCAATGACCGTCAAAGAAGTCCATTCTACCATTTCTGATTTTCTATTTACCCAATGTCCAAGACTCCACAACTCCCCAATTCATTGGGAAGTACTCAAATGCCTTCTCTCTCACAGTTCTTTCCTGAAAAAGGAGAAATATGCGACTGTCCTAGCTTTAGCTCAAGAGATTCAGACCTTGGAATCTTGCCATATGTCTACTAATGACTCTACACTTTTTCAGGTCCTAACTCAGAGATACATGCAGCCGCATCCACTCCTAGATAAAGCTGCTCTGAAACACTGGGACTCGCTTAAGCAATCCTTTTACGAAATCGGCAACAAATGTAGTAGAATGTTGCCACACTGCATTCGCACATACATTCCCAAGATTCATACTACATCTTCTCACATAATACACATAATACACCGTACTGATCAAATAGCACAAGCATGGATCTCACAGGTAACCCAATATTTAAGAATCCGAGGAATGGGTTGCTACATGCCATGACCGATCTGATCATTTTTACACAAGATAGGCTAGATGGCTGCATTACACCTGCATTACACCTCTCAGCTTACCACTGATTCGGACACCTGAACACAGTCCTTGTATACTGCTCTACCTGACCTTGAAATGCAGACGTTCTCCTTCACCGTTTTTGTACTAATATACTTGAGGGAGTATGATTTGTCTATGAACCCCAGCCCGAGCCTGTGGTTATGTGTGGGCCGTTTGTCCACCTATTATATTTTTGTGTTTGACCTGGCTGATGTTTAACCCCAACCGGGCTGTTGTTTCCTCTTTCTTTGGCTGTCAAACTGTAGTTTGTGTATGGTTTTTTTTGTTTTTTTTTACAATGCAAAATTAAAATAAAGATTATATAACAACAAAAATAGCACAAGCATTTCACGTGTATTATTCTGACCTTTACAATCTCAAATGCCCGATTCTTGTTCAACTCTTTCTCAAGCATACAAGCATAAATGGCAATTTTTGACTATGTTCGATCCACCCCTTTACCATCGCTGCCATATACACAGTGGATTGTATATGTCTAAGCCAATGCAGACAGAATGGGGAGTCCTATAACGGCTAGTTGCAGCAGTTGGAGCAGTTGCAGAGCAGAACAGTTACAGAACGGATCAAAACTGCATCCAATATATTGCAATGGTAGATAAAAGTAAGACAGAGCGCCTCCATAGTGTAAAAAGATTATTTATTTGGTAAAACACGCAAGCAAAAAATTCTACTTACACGATAATCAGTGATCACAAGCATAAAAGAAGCGTTGAAATATAAAATCGCTAGCAGGGAAAGTCTGAAGAGGAATCCAAATCAGCGTCCTCTGCTCCCGTCTTCAGACTTTCCCTGCTAGCGATTTTATATTTCAACGCTTCTTTTATGCTTGTGATCACTGATTATTGTGTAAGTAGAATTTTTTGCTTGCGTGTTTTACCAAATAAATAATCTTTTTACACTATGGAGGCGCTCTGTCTTACTTTTATCTCCCAGATGGCTTTGACCATTGGGAGCTGCCTCCAAGGCGTACAAACTACCTTTACAGCCGGATCGTTTTGCAAACCGGGGGCGCCAGTCTTGTTGCTTTCGTTATATTCCAATGGTATAGTTCACATCAGAGCGTTCAGTTTCAGCCTGTGAAAAAACTGCAGCATGCCCTATTTTTTTCTGCTCTGGAACGCATCAAAACGCATGCAAACGTCCTGGAACACACCAAAAGGCCTTTTTTTTTTTTTTTTACAAAAACGGCCCGGAATGCGGCAAAAACACACTGCACTGCATGTGCATAAACTCATGCAGATCTGGACTGCATTTGGTGTGATCAAGCCCTCAATACACTCAGAAAAGACAACAAAAGATTGTCCAATAAAAAGCAAAACTACTCTACCCCCCAAGAGGATTCAAATCCAGATGTCTTCCATGATCAAGAAGAGCTCATGGACATACAGCTGCCTCGTGATCTGACTGTAAATTACTGGGTCAGTCAAGGATATTTAATGTGTGTTGGCTTCAGGTTTATTCAGTATAGGTATACTGCCAATATATGCGTTTCATAGCTCTAAAAAACACTTTTTTTTAGGTTAGTAACTGTTGAAGCCCTTATTTTTATATTAGGATAATTCTGCAATTTCCCACCAGGAACCCTATATTTTGGCTTTCATTGGTCCTGGATGACCTCTCTGATCATAGCCGATGACTGTATGACAACTGACTTTTCAGTATAATTCAGAGAGCCACATTTTATACTAACATACTTACAATATTACATAGGAACTGATTTACCAGAGTGATTTATGTAAAAAGGATATCTGGTTCTTATTGGCAGTCAAAGTGTGTAAGAATTGAAGTAAAGGGAAGCAGACATGATTTCCCAGCTGGTTGTTGTCCAGTATTAGCTCTTCCAGACAGTGGAAACCTTCCAATCCATCCAAAGATCTGCATAAAAAGAACACAAAGAGGAAGAAGACATTAAAAACACAGTCACAACAGCAACCCAGATCACTTGTACAAAATGAGCATTGCCTGCTGAAATAAACAATACCAAGATCATGGCTGGTGCTCCAGCCATGATGTTCTGAAGTGGTTAATGAGGAACAAAAATCACAAAACTGATTATTCTATTTTGGCCTCGGATGATTTGGAATCTTAAAATAGTCGTAATTATATATTAGAGTACATAGGCTACCTGGGGAAACAGGCCCACAAGATTTATGTCCATTCTACAAGGCCTGTTTAACACCCTATTATATCGCCCCCCTTATATGAAACTTATCATACACAGAGCACGTGGACCCAAGAATCCTGCTCTACAGAAACCAGGGATGTGATCTGCAATGGCCACTTTTATCAGACCAACAGGGGACATCTTAAAGGCTGCCTGGGAGATTTTTCAAATATAGTTTGACGGGGCTTATATTTACATGCTGATCGTTTTGTCTCGACAGATTTTAACCTTTTTTAGCCTCTTTTGGAGGCTTTGAGAGCTAAGAACCCCAGTTATCCTTATCAGCTGCGAATCAGACACAACTGACAAACAGTTACATTTCAGAGTATAGGGGATATCTCTCTATTTTTTTAAAGACTCAATTTATCTAGGATTGAACTACCCTAATGGCCACATGATATGTTTATTCCATCAACTCTTCATAGAGTGGCTTCCTTACCACTCTGGACTTTAGATACCTTTTGACTCTACTAGCATCTGGCCTTCTATTGGCGTATATTGACACTTCCTCCTAGTACTGCCTAACTTGATACAACACCTCCTTTACTTCAAAACATGTCACCCCATTTTCTGTCCATCTTTTTGATCGACTCTCCTTACACACTATTACGAGATTTTTGCAACTTTGTACCTAACTCACTTGAAAATTCTTGCTGACTGCTGTTACCTTTTTGAGCCTTCTCAGTGCACATGAGACAGGGACTTTAAAAATACTACATTTGATTTGAATAACAATCCTTGAGGAATCACTTAGGAATAATACATTCTAACCATTGTCTTTAGTGGGGACCATTGAGCTATCAAATGTATAGTATTATAGTTTTGTATTTTGCTATAGACCTCCTACCTCTAACCTTTGAAACTGATTCCTCCTATCTCTCCCTGAAGGTTTTGCAAGGAAAGATGGGAAGAATATTAGGGTGAATGTATAATGAACAATAATGAACAGAATCAAGATGTCCTGTCTCAACACATGTTGAGATTATAAATCCAACCTATTTTCATATAAGACTTACACCCTGAAGTGGCACCCTGCTGATTTTTCTTGTCACATAGTATTACATAGTTACATAGTATTTGAGGTTGAATAAAGAAAGAGGGGATGGAGGACCAATGCTATGAGGCAAGATTGCAAAAGTTAAACTTGTTCACTCTAGAAATGAGGCAAATAAGAGGTGACATGATTTTGATGTACAAAATGTTTAATGGTGATGGTAATATCAGCAATAAACATTTTAGTGTAAACCCTCTAAAAACAAGAGGCCACCACCTGAAATAGGAAGAAAAAAAGATTAAACCAAAATGGGTGAAAGGGATTTTTTTTCTGTAAAACTGTGGAACTCTCTTCCCTAGGCAGTGGTTTCAGCAGAAGGTATGGAAACCTCAAAATCATTTAGATACCTTCCTAAGAAATCATAACATACAGGAGTAGAGGCACTTTTCTTGACTGGAACACACAGAGACACACACACACACACACACACAGACACACAGACCAAGGTTGAACTCGACAAACCAGTGTCTTTTTTTCAACCTCAAAAACTATGTAACATGTTGATGCTCTTTTGCCCACCCTGTGGAAAGTACTAAAGTGCATTCTTAGAGGTGTCTTTTTAAAAAAAGTGCCTGAAAAAAAGTTGCCTGAAAAAGGAACAATTAGCACAGATATATTGCTTTACAGATAAAAATTGGGCCCTCAAAATGTTGCATCCTGTAGATCACTATTTTACCAATTCAGTAACAAACCAGGAAGATTAAATCCACAGGCACTCCACCCCAGACAAACCAATGTGGCTATTTCTATGATTAAGGACTCCAGAGGGACCACGCTCCAGCCCACATTGCTAACACATTTCAATCATTTTAGGTACAATCAGATTTTAGTGAGATTTTCCATATACAAAGAATATACATCAAAGAATAAGCATACACAGAAAAACATTGGTCACAAAGAAACAATACAAAAGCACAGAACATAAGGTGGGCGTCCCCTAGGGAGCCTATAGCAGTATGGTAACGTCACAGTTAGTGATAATCAGATGTTGGAACAAGGGTCTGACACTGAACAGTGCATGCCAGTGAGCCATACAGAGTATTGTACAATAAGGGTGCGGGACAACACACGCCGCCAGCCCTGTGTTATAAATCCCGTTGTTCCCATAACTCGGGAGTAGATGACATGGGACGCTGAGAGGCTGACTAGACAGTGAAGTTCCCTTGCCCTCCTAAATGGCTAAGGTGGGGACAAGGGACCGACAGCATCTAGGAGAAGGGCACAGTCGGTGAGACAGGAGTAAAACTCCAAGGCTTATGAGGGCAATACAGAGAGTAACAAGGAAGGAGAGAAGAGCAAAGTGAGTACAGGAAAGCACACAAAAGAGCACTGGGAAGACCCAACCCCTGCCAGGGTGTCCGCCAGGCTTAGAGGTCAGTGAGAAATAGCGTCCGAGAAATCCGCCGACCCCGGATTTCAATCATTTTATCATAAACTTTATAATATCTCAGACCCACTCACTGACATGGACCTCCAGGACCACATAAATAAAATGAAATTGTACACCATTAAGACATTACCCTTACCCCCTTCAAAAAGCAAAAGATTACCTAGAGTAGCCCATCTGTATTTTTTATGTAATTGGTGATGAAATGTGTTGAGCAAGTGCAGAGCATTGTGGTGGACTGATGGCTCACTTCTATGCGCTGAGCATTCGCTTGAAATTTTTGGCTGTCTGTACCCAGTGCAAGTTTTATGCACTTTACTGTGTGAGAATATTGGATGCTTTTACATTTTGCTTTTAATAAAGGGGTACAGTTTAAGCTATGACATTCTTCTTTTTGTTTCATATAAATGGGATGACGGATCTGGCACACGTGTTTTGTGAACGGAGTCTTAACATTTATTCCTGAATAAAGATTCTGCACAGTCAGTTTTTTTTCATTGGGTGCTCTGGATGGTGGATACATTGCAAATAAGTGGAGGAGAAATTCTGAATGATCAGGTCTGGAGAATATTTTTAAAAAGAAGGGATCATACAACATTTGGTGAGTTTATTACCTAGAGGCCTGGTGAAGCACAGGGAAAGACGCACCTCTTGGAATGTTTGCACTTTGGTTTTTGGACTATGGGAACATATATAAAAAAAATAACTTTTTGGCCTCTTGCACATATATTTATTTATTATATAATTAAATAATTCATCAAAGGTTTCTGAGTTTTTTAACGTTATATATGTTTATCATTTTTTTGTTTTGTGTTTTTGCGCTGTATGTTTTTGCTTATTTTATATCTTTAACACTTTAAAGCTTTTGTTAGGGGCAGACAGTGTTCACATCTAGTTTACAACTCATAATGAGATCTGACAGCACAACACAGACAGAGCTAATTATGTTAACATTAATATTCCCACCCCCCTTGCATACCAGAGGGAAATACAGTGCAGAGAAAAACTTTTCTTTCAGAATTAAGCATGTTTTGTGAACGTAGCAATTTATTTTCTTTTACTTATGCTATGTGAATAAAAAAAAAAAATGTAACAATTATAAAAGAGGTGTTATTCCAAGGTGGCTGCAACTGTTAAAATACACCTTTAGGCATTTCCTTATAGTCGCCATAACACTGGCGGATAACCACAACACTATCTAGATGGGGTTTGCAAATTAAATTTAGTACATAAACTGGAAGAATACATTCTCTGGGAGAAAGACATGCAATACCTGGATCTCTGAGATTCAGTTAAAATCCTGAAATGCGCATCAGCTTCTCTAATTTAATGACCATCATTTAGAATATTACAGTGGTGACCATTATGGACAAGAGAGGAGAAAAATCCCCCCCTTTTCTTACCTCTTCCATTACCCCTATTTCCTACCCTTTCATAGCCTCCTTTAGTTTTTTCTCTGGCACACTTACATCTTCAATTCTGTCTACAAGATGGCTAGTCATAGCTAGTGTACATTATGACCTATTTATTTGTACCATAAAGATTTTGTATATGCACTACATTGATTTACACAAATGTACACAAATACTCAGACATACTGTATTTCGTTTTTTCCTCCTTCCAATGGGTACCTAGCAACCAGATGATGATAGCCCATATTTTTGGGTAGTGCTGTAATTCCACAAATTGTGTGGGAGCAGGTCATACAGCGTGGGGTGGGTTTGCACTAGGCCCCATCATCGAATAGGGACAATGTGCTGTCCTCCATTTTGTTTCCCAGGGTGTTTTGCAAAGAGGAAGAGGGGTTATGCTTGCGCAACAAAATGCTGAAAAAAGGACAAAAAAGCTTGTGTCACATGTTTACAGGCATTTCCACAGAAGTCTATACGGCCAAAAACACAGAAAAGTAGCTTGTGTACTTTTTCCAACGACAGGTGTTTTGCTACAGGCGAAAGGGGGCTCAGGTGTGAACAGGGGCCTTTGAAAACAACGGAATCCCTAATTCCTTGGTTAAGCATTGTAGTTCTTAGTCCTTTCAGCTACAAAATGCCTAAGTGTGAACAGGGACTAAGGGTGTGGAAGCCTCAAGTAGTGGAGTGACTTCAAATTGTTTGCCTTCCACATACCCGTTACAATATGCACTATGAAAAAAGTAGCAAGTGTGAAGGAGTGGTGGAAAGCCATCACTGGTTGTGTTTTATAAGGAAGCACATTCTTTCTGGATTTTAACTCATGGGGAGTGTTTTCAACAATATTTTCAATTAGAGGGA